GGAGGAGGAGGAGGGGAGGGGGAGGAGTACCAGGAGGAGGAGGAGGAGGAGGAGGAGGAGGAGGAGGAGGAGGAGGAAGAGGAGGAGGAGGAGGAGGAGGACGAGGACGAGGAGGAGGAGGAGGAGGGGGGGGGGAGAGTACCAGGAGGAGGAGAACGAGGACCACCAGGAGGAGGAGGAGGAGGAGGAGGAGGAGGAGGAGAGAACACCAGGAGGAGAAGGACGAGCAAGACGAGGAGGACGAGAACGAGGACGACCAGGAAGAGGAGGAGGAGGAGGAGAGGAGGGGAGGGGGAGGACTACCAGGAGGAGGGAGGAGGAGGAGGAGGAGGAGAGGAAGAGGAGGAGGAGGACGAGGAGGAGGAGGAGGAGGACGAGGAGGAGGAGGGGGGGGAGAGCACCAGGAGGAGGAGAACGAGGACCACCAGAGGAGGAGGAGGAGGAGGAGGAGGAGGAGGAGGAGGAGGAGAGAGCACCAGGAGGAGGAGGACGAGCAAGACGAGGAGGACGAGAACGAGGACGACCAGGAGGAAGAGGAGGAGGAGGAGGAGGAGGAGGAGGAGCAGGAGAAAGAGGAGGAGGAGGAGGCAGGCTGAAGCTGAGGCTGTGACTGCGACTGCCGTTGCCGCTGCGACTGTCATCGCGAATGCGACTACGACTGCGAGAACAGCAGAATTCTACAACTGGATTTTCATCTGAATCTTAAAGGGAATGCTTTCAGATATGCTTCTACAATCGCTTTCAGATATGCTTCTACACATCGCTGTTAGGGGTGCTTTGCAGGGAATATTTTGTGAAAAGCAATTGGTTTTTCTTTATCCTAACAGCTTGTTTCGGATAGGTTTTAGTGGTCTCATATGTGAGCAGCGATGTCTCCTCAGGGGGGTCTGGGAGGGTGCCGGACCCAGGGTGCCGCAGAAGTCGTTTTTTTTTTATAGCATCCGAGTCACCACACTTCGTGCTCTTCGACCTCCCAGAACTCCATTCCCGGCCACATTCTGAATGCCGAGACAACTTGTATGCCACTTCGTGCTCTTTCGTCTTACCAGAACTCCATTCCGTGGCCTCATTTTGAATGCCCGAGCCAACTGTAGGCCACTTCGTGCTATTCGAGTTCCCAGAACTCCATTCCCGGCCACATTCTGAATGCCCGGAGCCCACTGTAGGCCACTTGGTGCTCTTCGAGTTCCCAGAACTCCATTCCCGGGCCACATTTTGAATGCCCGGAGCCAACTGTAGGCCACTTCGTGCTCTTCGAGTTCCCAGAACTCCATTCACGGGCCGCATTTTGGATTCATGGAGGCAACTCGTAGGCCACTTCGTGCTCTTCAAGTTCCAGTATTCCATTCGCTGGGTTCTTTGATTTTGAATGCCCGGAGCCAAACTGTAATAGGCCAACCTTCGTGTTCTTCTGTCTCCCAAAATCTTCCACTCCTGGGACCTCATTTTGAAGTGAGGCAGGACTGATGCTGCGGCCGAGGCGGCTGAGGCAGGATTTTTTGTTGGCCGAGGCCGAGGCTGAAGGCAGACTGTAGGCTGAGGCTGAAAGCAGACTGAGGCTGAGGCTGAAGCAGGCTGAGGCTGAGGCAGGCTGAGGCTGAGGCTGAGGCAGGCTGAGGCTGAGGCAGGCTGAGGCTGAGGCTGAGGCTGATGCAGGCTGAGGCTGAGGCAGGCTGAGGCTGAGGCTGAGGCCGAGGCTGAAGGCAGACTGAGGCTGAGGCTGAAGCAGGCGGAGGCTGAGGCTGAGGCAGGCTGAGGCTGAGGCAGGCTGAGGCTGAGGCTGAGGCAGGCTGAGGCTGAGCTGTGACTGCGACTGCCGTTGCCGCTGCGACTGTCATCGCGAATGCGACTACGACTGCGAGAACAGCAGAATTCTACAACTGGATTCTCATCTGAATCTTAAGGGGAATGCTTCCAGATATGCTCCTACACATCGCTGTTAGGTTGCTTTGCCGGGATAATTGTATTTTTCATTTTATTACGATTTTCATTTTATTCGTTCATATCATTATTTCTTAGTCTTTTTTCTTTATATTTACCTAACAGCTTGTTCTGATAGGTTTCTAGTGGTGTCAAAAGAGAGCAGCAGATGACTCCACAGGGGGGTCTGGGCGGGTGCCGGACAGGGTGCCGCAGATGTCGTTTTAAGCCAACAGTCACACACTTCGTGCTCTTCGACCTCCCAGAACTCCATTCCCGGGCCACATTCTGAATGCCCGGAGCCAACTGTAGGCCACTTCGTGCTCTTCGACTTCCCAGAACTCCATTCCCGGGCAACATTTTGAATGCCCGGAGCCAACTGTAGGCCACTTCGTGCTCTTCGACTTCCCAGAACTCCATTCCCGGGCCACCTTTTGAATGCCCGGAGCCAACTGTAGGCCACTTCGTGCTCTTCGACTTCCCAGAACTCCATTCCCGGGCCACATTTTGGATGCCCGGAGCCAACTGTAGGCCACTTCGTGGTCTTCGAGTTTCCAGAACTCCATTCCCGGGCCACAGTTTGGGTGCCCGGAGCCAACTGTAGGCCACTTCGTGGTCTTCGAGTTCCCAGAACTCCATTCCTGGGCATGATTTTGAATTCCCGGAGCCAACTGTAGGCCACTTCGTGTTCTTCGAGTTCCCAGAACTCCATTCCCGGGCCACATTTTGAATGCTGAGGCAGGCTGAGGCTGAGGCTGAGGCAGGCTGATGTTGAGGCAGGCTGAGGCTGAGGCTGAGGCTGATGCAGGCTGAGGCTGAGGCAGCCTGAGGCTGACGCCGAGGCCGAAGGCAGACTGAGGCTGAGGCTGAAGCAGGCTGAGAGCTGAGGCTGAGGCAGGCTGAGGCTGAGGCGCTTGAGGCTTGAGGGCTGAGGCAAAGAGGCTGAGGCAGGCTGAGGCTGAGGCTGTGTCTGTGACTGCCGTTGCCACTGCGGCTGTCATCGCGAATGCGACTACGACTGCGAGAACAGCACAATTCTACAATTGGATTCTCATCTGAATCTTAAGGGGAATGCTTCCAGATATGCTCCTACACATCGCTGTTAGGTTGCTTTGCCGGGATATTTTTTTATGTTTTTATGTTGAAATGCTTGCAAACACACGGTGTTCGGTAGGATTCTGACATGAACGTGCGAGTGTGCTCTTTGTGGTATTTTTTGCACAGGATTCGCGGCCTGGGTGCATGACAGAGCATCGCGAGTGCACCGCGCGATGACGTGAAATCGCTGGATTTGACAGAATTCTTAAGATTCCTATGGTTTCCCTATGATTTCAGCAAGAGAGCCCGGGCGGGAAATTTGTACATTTTTTGTGAAAAAAGCATTGGGTTTTTGATGTTTTTTATGTTGAAATGCTTGCAAACACACGGTGTTCGGTAGGATTCTGACATGAACGCGCGCGTGTGCTCTTTGTGGTATTTTTTGCAATGGATTATCGCCGTGGACGACAGGACGTCCATGTCGAGAGGAAAAAATAAGAAAAATGTTGATTTTGTATTGTTTTTACAGGTTAGGATGGGACCACCCGGATGCGCCCGCTATCTGCCGGCCTGAGGGGGGAGTAGGAGTATATTCTAATAAGGAATAAGGATAGGAGGAGGAGGAGGAGGAGGAGGAGGAGGAGGAGGAGGAGGAGGAGGAGGAGGACGAGGAGGAGGAGGAGGAGGAGGAGGAGGAGGAGGAGGAGGAGGAGAGGAGGAGGAGGTGGTAGGTGGAGGAAGGAGGAGGAGAAGGAAGGGCAAGCAAAAGGGCTAGAGGTCTCTTGGATGGCTCTCGGAGCCTCTTGGGATATCACTGGGGCGCTTCTTGGAGGCCTCTTAGGACGTCTTGGGGGTCTCTCGGCGGTCCTGGAGGACTCGTGGGCGTCTTGGGTGTCCCGGGGGGGGCCTCTTGAGGTCGCTTGGGGTCCTCCCCCCCCCAAAGGCCCAAATGGGCCCCGAACCTTAGTAAAACCAATGATTTTGGCGTTCTCGCCGAGGCCGTTTTGTACGCGCCAACGACCCGCGACCGCACCCGTCCAGGTCCAGGGGAGGGGGTTCAAGGGGGAGGGGTCTAGTACCCTCCCCTGCCCGCAAGCCAGTCTCGCTTCAACTACCCATTCGCCCTCCCAACACTTACGTCAGACCCGAGTTCTGGCCGAGCCTCAGAGTGCATCTGCAGTCGTCTTGGGGTAGGGGCAGCTACTGGGGTGCAATATCGCCGCCTCGCCGCCCCGCCGCCGCCGCCGCCCGCCGCCGCCGCCCCCCGCCGCCGCCGCAACCTTCGCGCCTGTCGCCGCCGCCGCCGCGGCCGCCGGCCGCCGCCGCCGCCGCCGCCGCCTAGCCGCCGACGCCGCCCGCCGCCGCCGCCGCCGCCGCCTCCGCCGCCGCCGCCGACCGCCGCCCGCCGCACGCAAGCCCCCCGCTGCCGAACCGCCGCCGCCGCCGCAGCCGCGCTGCGCTGCTCCGCCGCCGCCCGCCGCCGCGCCGCCGCCGCCGCCGCCCCCGCCCCCCGCCGCCGCCGCCGCCGCCGCCGCCGCAGCCGCCGCAACCGCCGCCGCAGCCGCCGCAGCCGCCGCCGCCGCCAAGTGTACTCTGTATTGTTTTTTGACAAGGATGGCGGGGGGAGGGGCGCATCGGGTTGGCTGCGCATGTTCCGAATTTGGAGGCAGAGTGTGTTTTGTATTCTTTTTCGCAAGGGATGGTGGGGGGGGGGGTGGCATGGACCCTGGTTGGCCCCCAGTCGCCTGGGGGAGGGGTGTTTATGAATAGGGAACAGTGATAAACCCCTGCCCGAAGGGGAAGAGGGAGGGGTGGAAGAGGACACGCTCCAAACTATCTACGCCCAGAGGACTGGTGGGATGTGGCCACATCTCGGACTTAGAAACTCAGCGGTGCATCGCACCGCTGCCCACGACATGCCTGGAGCCATCCAAGCCGCCTCTATGAGCCCTCTGAAGGAGATTTTGCAAATCAGGCGTGGCATGTGTAGACCATCTGCTGCTCCACCTCCTCTCGCTCCTCCCGTCCGCACTATGTGCCTCAGGCGCCCCCTCGCAGCAGCAGGGGGAACCTCTCCTCGCGCTCGTCGACCAGTTCCTACAGCACGGCCGCGCGGGGTGCAGGGTTGTGCTGAGGGGGAGGGCGGGAGGAATGGGTACGCCAGTGGGGCGGCCTGAGGCCTGAGGGGCCGGGGGAGAAGAGGGGCAGTGGGAAGCGGGGCGGTGGAGGGGCTGGCAGAAAAGAGGGCGGTGAGAGCGTAAGCGGCGGGGGATGGGGGAGGTACGTGAAAGAGATAGGGAGGGGGATGCTTGTTTGGGGTGAAGAGAGGATGCGGGGGGGAAGGTGGGAAGAGTACGTGCATGAGGAGGAGGATGCTGAGGAGGAGGGGGTCGAGGCGGGGGATAGGGAGGGACAAGGAGGAGGAGGAGATGAAGGAGGAGCCCACATTAGAAGCAGGAGACGCAGGAAGAGGAGGAGAAGGGGGAGGAGGAGGAGGGCCAGAGTAAACATCACAACAGCTGCAATGCGGTCAGGAACGTTCCCTTAGCGTGTCGCGCCGCTGGTTCTGGCCCATCACCTTTGACCCCGCAGCCCTGCTGGGGATTTCAGACGGCGCTGAGGCTTTCACTGTGCGTGACGCGACTCTCGCAGACGCGATTCTCGGATGGTCCTCCAGGATGTCCTCGCGGCGACGGCCTCAACATCCCTCAGGCGTGCTTCCCGCACGACCCTCACAGGGTAGGATTGCACCCCGAGGCCACATTGAGGCCCCTGCCGCTAGAGCCCCAACATCCATCCCCTAGACGTGATTCCCACGTGGCTTCCCGAGGAGGTGGAGTGCACGTTGAGGTCAAGTTTAGGCCGTCCCGGTGAGGAGTCAACATCCCACAGGCGTGATCCCTTCACGGTTCTCGATGACTTGGGGTGTACGTTGAGGCTCCGTTAGGCACATCTTTTAGGGATCGAATTGTAATTTCGTGTTCCCCCTTTTGGGACCCTTTTGGCGCCGTCTCGGGGGACTGCTGGTATAGTTTTAGGGACATCGCGCCCTCCTGGGCCCTCTTGGGCGTCTCTTGGGCCCTCTTAGGGCGGTCTTGCTGGCCTCTTTGGGCCGTCTGGGAGCGTTGGGATGCCGAAGACGCGAGAGCGCTAACATCCTAACACGCAGCTGTGGGAGATTACAGATGTGTGTGTGTGGGGGTTATCTTGGAACTGTATTGGGGGCGTTTTGGGGCCACTCGGGCTGCCTTGAGACCATCTTGCGAAGTCTTGGGGCGCTCTCGGGCCGTCGCGGGATCCTCTTGGACCGAATTGGGGGCCTTTTGGAGCTTTCTGGGAACGATTGCGATGTGGAGCAGGTGCAGGAGTAGGTGGATGTGGAAATTGAGGCGGGGGAGGCGGAGGGGGAGGAGGAGGAGGAGGAGGAGGAGAAGGAGGAGGAGGAGGAGGAGGAGGAGGAGGAGGAGGAGGAGGATTAGGACCAGTGTAAATCCAAGAATCATCGACGATGTTGCACTATGTTGCACTACACACTCCCTTCAAGTTCCCTCTTACAGGCTCCTGTAAGGACCTGCGTTCGCTGCGGGAAGAGCCCCGTGGGAAGACACCCGCCTGAAAAGGTTCAACCGTACCAAAGCAACATTCCTTGGACTTCAACGCCGCGAGTCACCGTCACTGTTGCGACCTGACGATCCGAAACCGTGCCAGAACATCCTTTCTGGGACGTCAGCTCCGCGACTCACTGCGATTGGCGTGACCTGGCAATCCTACGTCGAGCCAAAGCCACCGCTTCTGAGACGTGGCCGTCATAGTCCTTGACACTGTTGTAGACAGTGGTAGCGAACGTGGCCAGCGCTGAAGCGAGAACCACATGTGGAAACGACCGGCCCTCCGCCCGTGGAACCCCTGCAGACGTGTGGAGGAGGAGGAGGAGGAGGAGGAGGAGGAGGAGGAGGATGGAGGTAGGAGGAGGGGGAGGGTGAGGGGGAGGGGGTTGGGAGGAGGGAGGAGAGGAGGAGAGGAGGAGGAGGGAGGAGGAGGAGGAGGAGGAGGAGGAGGCTCTTGCCTTGGCGCCGCGCACCTTCGTTCTCAAGTCTGCTTCTCCCGTTTGCGGCGCGGCGCTGAGGCGAGAGCCACATGTTGGAAGCCGCCCGCCCTCCACCCGTGCAGCTCCCTTGCAAACGGGAGAAGCAGAGGGCAGAAGAAAGCAGGAACTTGAGAAACGGAAGGTGCGCGGCGCCACCAAGGCAAGAGCCTCCTCCTCATCCTCCTCTCCTCCTCCTCTCCTCCTCCTCCCCTCCTCTCCTTCCCCCTCCCTCTCCTCCTCTCCTTCCCCCTTCCCCCTCCTCCTCCTTTTTTTCCTCCTCCTCCTCCTCCTCCTCCTCCTCCACACGTCCGTGAAGCTGTTGCCATTGTCACGCTTCAGGATCGGAAGCGGCGAGGAAGCATGAGCGGTGCGGAAGTCTCGGGCGTGACGCCTGGCCTGCCCTGCGACCCGTCTCGGGGTGCGACAGGGAGGAGTTATGGATTGGAGAGGCCTGACGGCCGGTGCCGCCGACCCTGATCGAAAGGGCTAGGAGTGGGGGGAGGAAGCGGAGGATGAGGAGGAGGAGGAGGAGAAGGAGGAGGAGCAGGAGGAGGATGAGGAGGAGGAGGAGAAGGAGGAGGAGGAGGAGGAGGAGGAGGAGGAAGAGGAGGAGGAGGAGGAGGAGGAGGAGGAGGAGGAGGAGGAGGAGGAGGAGGAGGAGGATGTTGATCCTTTGTGTGCCCGCTCGAAGAACGTGCGCCCCGGGAGTGTGATATTCTGACTTGGGACGTGCTCCCGGAAGAGGAAGAAGTGCATCTCGGGCGTGCCCGCTCGAGGAAAATGCGCCCTAGGGGGGTGGTATTTTGACTCGGGGCCCGCTCCTGGGACGCCTCTGCGGGAGGAGGAGGAGGAGGAGGAGGAGAAGGAGGAGAGGAGCAGGATGAGGAGGAGGAGGAGGAGGAAAAGGAGGAGGAGGAGGAGGAGGACCAGGAGGAGGAGGAAGTGCATCCCGTGCGTGCCCGCTCGAGGAAAGTGCGCCCTGGCGGGCGTCGTATCTGCCCCGGCCCCCCCCCCCTCCCACCCCCCCTGCGGGGAAGGGATCAAAGGGAAGGCGCTTCCCTTCGACTCCACTACGACGTCGTTTAATTTCGCTTTGGATAGCGCGCTTGAGGAGGAGAGCCCTGGGAGGGGGAGAACGGAGACGACGGAGACGACGAGTCGAACGGAGAAGCCCCTCACACACGCCGACAGGGTCGGCGGATTTGGAAGAGGGACGGAAAGGGGATGGAGGAGGAGGAGGAGGAGGAGGAGGAGGAGGAGGAGGAGGAGGAGGAGGAGGAGGAGGTGGGGAGGAGGAGGAGGAGGGTGGAGGGGAAGGGAGGAGAACGGGCGAGGAGGAGGAGAAGGAGGAGGAGGATGAGGAGGAGGAATAGGAGGAGGAGAAGGAGGAGCAGGGGGTAGAGGAGAGGGTAGAGCAGGAGGAGGAGGCGGATGAAAAAGAGGAGGAGGAGGAGGAGGAGAAGGAGGAGGAGAAAGGGGGATGCTGATGATGATGCTGATGATGATGCTGATGATGATGATGATGATGATGACCATGATGATGATGATGATGATGATGATGATCATGATGCTGATGTTGATGATGATGAGATGATGATGCTGATGCTGATGCTGATGCTGCTGCTGATGATGATGACGATGATGATGATGACGGGGAGGAGGAGGATGAGGAGGAGGAGGAGGAGAAGCAGAATGATGATGTGGAAGATAATGAGGAGGAAAATGAGGATGAGGATGATGATGAAGATGAGGAGGAGGAACTGAAGGCAGAGAAGGATAATGATGCTGATGCTGCTGCTGATGATGATGCCGATGATGATGCTGATGCTGATGCTGATGCTGATGATGAAGACGACGCCGATACTGGTGATGATGCTGATGCTGATGCTGATGATGATGATGATGATGATGATGATGCTGATGCTGATGCTGATGCTGATGAGGATGGTGACGATGACGACGCCGATACTGATGATGATCCTGATGCTGAAGCTGATGCTGCTACTACTGATGATGATCATGATGATGAAACTGATTATGCTGATGCTGCTGATGATGCTGATGATGAGGATGATGGTGAGAAAGAGGAGGATGAGGATGAGGATGAGGATGAGGAGGATGAGGATGAGGATGAGTGTGATGATGGTGATGATAATGATTATGATGATGATGATGATGATGATGATGATGACGACGACGACGTTGATGATGATGATGTTGATGATGATGATGATGATGATGATGATGGTGGTGATACTGACGATGATGATGATGATGATGCTGATGATGATGATGATGATGATGATGATGATGATGATGATGATGCTGATGATGATGATGATGATGATGATGGTGATGTTGATGATGATTGATTGATGATTGATGATGATGATGATGATGATGATGATGATGTTGATGATGATGATGATGATGATGTTGATGATGATGATGATGCTGATGATGCTGATGATGATGATGAGGAGGAGGCGAGGAGGAGCAGGGGAGGGCGGAGGAGGAAGGAGGAGGAGAATGGACGGGGTAAGCAGCAGGAGGAGGAGGAGGAGGATGAGTGTGAGGGGGAGGAGGAGGAGGAGGAGGAGGAGGGGAGGAGGAGGATAGGAGGAGGAGACGAGGAGGAGGAAGGAGGAGGGAGGGGGGAGGAGGTGCGAGGAGGGGATGGACAGGCGGGAGGAGGACGAAGTGGGAGCCGGAGGTGGAGGGGCAGGTTGTTGATGATGAGGTGAGGCGGAGGAGCAGGTGGAGGATGATGATGATGATGATGATGATGATGAGATTGATGATGATGATGATATGATGATGATGTTGATGATGATGATGATTTGTGAGGGATGAGGATGAGGATGAGGATGAGGTGGAGGATGAGGGATGAGGATGAGGATGAGGATGATGAAGAGGTGATGATGATGATGATGAAGTGATGATGATGATGGATGATGATGATGATGATGATGAGCAGGAGTGAGGTATGATGATGATGAGGAGGAGGTAGGAGGAGGAAAGAGGGGAGGAGGATGGAGGAGGAGGAGGAGGGAGCAGGAGGAGGACGAGGAGTAAGGAATAAAGAGTAAGTAGTAAGGAGTAAGGAGTAAGGGGTAAGGAGGAGGAGGAGGAGGAAGAGGAGGAGCCGGCGGTGGAGGGGCAGGTTGATGATGAGGAGGCGGAGGAGCAGGCCTATGAGGAGGATGAGGAGGATGAGGAGGAGGAAGAGGAGGAGGAGGAGGAGGAGGAGGAGGAGGAGGAGGAGGAGGAAGAGGGTGAGGAAGAAGACAGAGTCAGGCGGTCGGGATTGGTGGTGGCGGGGAAGGTGGGCGCCAGGCCTGCGGCGACGAGACCATGATGCTCAGTGGCCTGCACAGCGCCATGCGCGGCAGCCCGGGGCCTTCGAGGCTCGCCGCGCTTCCGTGGCACGAGACTCATTTTAGAGAGTTTTCCGGCCGCTCCCAGCTCCTCCCCCGCAGCTTCTCGAGGTTCAAGTCCAGCTTGCCAGCAGTGCGAGCGCTTTTTCCGCGCTGCGGATGTGGACGCGCTGCGGATGCGTGCCGCAGTTGCCTTTTGCCATGCCATCGTCGTGGCGTAAGGCAGCATCCACCATCGTTCGCTACGTCGGTATAGAGTTTTCGCCAATGACCTCGGAGATTGACATGATGAGTGGGTTCCCGTGGCATTACTAGTGTGCAAGAAGCAAGCATTCCCAAATGCCGTCGTATTTTGCAAGCTTCTCCGACCACTTGGGTACGCTTGTAACGAGCCGGCATCCCGTGAGATGCAGTGCCCGCTCAAGGCGACCGCTTCTGCTTCATATGCGTGCGGGGTGCCTGTGGCTGCAGGTTGCCGCGCCGCTTTCAGGTCCTGGAATGCCGCAGGCGGACCTGGGAGGCTCCGCCGAAGGATGTACAAAAGCAGGTCTCTGAGGGAGGTCCCATCCAGAAGAAGGCGGATGACATGGGAAGATGTTGTCCAGCGCTTCACTGCAGAGAACGACATCGATTCTTGGACTGATCGGGCGCTGGACCGGGATCGGTGGTCATCCAGGGTCGAGAATTTCGTCACGTGGTTCATGAGGCAATGCGCGGCACGAGCTGCGCTGCGCCCCTCGCGGGCCCCTTCGGGGACGCAGCCACTTCCACTTCCCCACGTCCACCAGCTTCCACGAACACGCCCTGTGCCGAGCTACCCAGGCGTGGATACGGAGTTTACCGTGTGGATTCTGCGTGCAGTCGCTCAAGGTGTGTTGCCTTCTTCTGCTCCCTCGTGCGGTGCCGATGGCTGGGCGTGCTGACGACGCCACGGTGGGGGATAAGATGTCGCTGGCGGCAGTTACCCGCACAGGTCCGCGACCACTGGAATATATCTCTCTAGACGCTGAATTTGGCCCCCAGGTTAACATCTCTATCGACATGCGCGTGACCCACCAGAAGTGGCCCCCCAAGCAGACAGTATTCGGCCCCCCGTCTCACGCAATCCTGGCCCACACGAGGATGCCCTCGAGAAGGCGATCGTCGCCCGTGGGGGGAGCAACAGTGGCGACCTGGCCTTGGTAGCTGCGAAACCGGGCCTCGATGGGACCCCAGAAAGATATCCAGGGTGTCATATGGGGCCACATGGTCACGGATCCTGACGGGAACCCGCGGAGCAGCGAGACAAGTGCAGGGCGCAGAGCTAGTCCTGACCTCCTGATGGGCGGGCCAAGCAGCATCTGACGACACAGCGCGGAAGAGACTCTGCTCGACGGACGATGTCGCCGTGGGTGCGCCCAGGCGCTGCGACGCCCAGGGGAGCGCCACAGAAGGCGAGCGTGCGTGTGCGAGAGAGCAGCTGTATATGCAAGCGCTGCGCGGGTCTTTATCCAGACCGCTTGCGAGCAGATGGTCACCGACCTCATCATGTTGAGGACTGGAATGCACTGTTCTAGCACGAAGCAAACGCATAACCGTTCCAGACCACGTGTCGACGAGATAGCGGGCACGATAGGAGGCGAGGCCGCTTGTCGATCAACAACAGGACAGGCCAGCTTACTGGCACGCCACATCACAGAGATCGTCACAGCTGCCGGTCCGTCGTCTAGGCACACTTCTACAAGGTTTGCTATCCAACGCTGGCTGAGGTATGGTGCGTCGACCACTTCTGCCGCTTTATCATCAACCACTTAGTTTCCTCGCGCAGTGCAAAGAGGCTCCTTTTCCTATGCCTGCTCCTCCTCCTCCTCCTTTTCCTTCTCCTCCTCCTCCTCCTCCTCCTTCTGGACTCCATCACCTTCTCGCCTGCCCAATTGCTCATCTACTTCTCGCTATTGCCATTATTTCCGGTGTTCGCCATCTTCTGTGTCCTCTTCGTCCACTGGACAATGCCTGCTTTGGCATGCCATCAGGATTTAACAGCAGCAGCAGCAGCAGCAGCAGCAGCAGCAGCAGCAGCAGCAGCAGCAGCAGCAGCAGCAGCAGCAGCAGCAGTGTGGCAGCCGTAGCTGTGCCTTGACGCGGGCGCAGAGGGCGAGGAAGCTCAAGCGCAGCTTCTTGCAGCAGGCCCAACTCATGCCGAGAGCGACTTTGCAAGACTTCTGCTCGTGAGCCCAAGGGCAATCGCTTCCTCCGCTGCCGCCCGCTCATGCCTCTGCTATTCGTGACTCGGGCCTGGAGATGCGAGGGCGCGGGGGTGGCTCTCGCGGGCGCACCGGGCCCCGGATCGAGCGCAGGGGCGTTGCGGAGATCCGTTGTCACAGGGTTGACGGGGCGATGGAATAACAAAGGGTACGGGTGGAGATAAACATGTTTATCAGAAAGGCACAACCATCTCCTCAGTGACTCCTCGGAGTCACGTCCTGAAGCCAAACTGGCTGTAGACCGCAGGAGAACACGGAGGGAGGGGGGAGAGGGATCGGAGAACGCACCCCCAGGGAGGCAAAGGATGACAGCATGTCCCACCTCCCCAGACATGGGAGAGGTGCTCTCGCGGGCGCATCGGGCTCCGGATGGAGCGCCAGCCTTCCGCCGCCTGCCTTCAGGGGCCACGTCAGGGGGGGAGGCTCATGTGGGAAGCAAAGGATGGCAGCGGACCCAACTTTCTCGGGTTCGACTCTGGTGTTGAGACTGAGATCCACATGGGCGACAGGGGTCCGGCCCGATCGGCCCCCGGCAGCGTCGACACGGGCAGGAGGAAAGACGCAGAAGGAAAGAGGGAGAGGGAGAAAAAAAGAGAAGAAGAAGGCAAGAAGAGAAGAAGAAGACGATAAGAAGAAGAAGGAAGAAGAAAGAAGAAGCAAGAAGTAATAAGAAGACAAGAAGAACAGAAGAAGAAGAAGGAAGAAGAAGAATACAAGAAGAAGAAGAAGAAAGCAGAAGAAGAAGAAGAAGAAGAAGATGAAGGAAGAAGACGAAAGCCAAACGGAAGAAGGAAAGACGCAAGGACGAAGACGACGCAGCTAACGACGACGACAAGACGCGTCATCCTTACTCCCTCCGCCCTCTCCTCCTCCTCTTCCTCCTCCTCCTCCTCCTCCTCCTCCTCCTCCTCCTCCTCCTCTCTTGCTCCAGATCCCCGGCGTGAACTGAAGCTCTTCGTCGCCTCGTCTCCCCTCCACCTCCTCTAGGGTCTCTTCGAGCCCCTTCTTCTTCTCCCGGCCGTTGGGCTCCTCGTGACTCCTCGTCTCCTCCTCCTCGTCTCGCTTCCTGGCTTCCTCCAGCAAAGCTATTCTACTTGCGCCTCGGGACCGAGACTTCAGGGCCTGATTGAGGGAGCGTTCGTCCAAGTGGCCCCCCTCGTCGATCAGACAGAGCGTTCCCCTACATAACAAATCGTGCAGGGCCAGGTTGGACTTCGAGGGGTCCGCGTGCGTAAGAGGGTCAGCCGGCGTGGGGAAGCCAGCGGACTTGGGACCCAGTGACCGAAAGAGAATCGCGGATGACGGCGAGTTCAATCGCGTTCTGGCGGTCTGATCGGGAGCCAGCAGCGTTCTTGGAAAGCGTGTCGAAAACCGATTTCGCATCCACAACAGAGAGGGATGCTGCCTGCTCACGAAGTTGGCAGCTCGAGGACATCACTACTGAAAAGGGGGAAGCCTGCGTGCTCCAGGAAGGGCGATCAACGTCGCCAAAGACTGTGTCTCTCCACAAAAATTGGAGCCATTGAGCTTCGGCCAGAGCCCCGCTCAAGGCAAGGGTCTCGGCAGCGACGGTAGAGCTGATGACACGCTTGAGACGCTGGGAACGCCACGACAAAACGGAGACTCGAGCACGCTGGTTGGCTCTGATCGTCGCGTCCGCTCCCATCACAATCCAGGCCCCCTGGGACCCTCCACGACTCGCGGACCCGGGCCCGAGGCGTCGGAAGCCGTCATGAAAGTCAACGAGACAGGGTCGAGGGCCCAGACCGTGATTCTCTGGGATGCGGTAGCTTTCAGGTACTTGCAAATCTTCATTAGAGTCATCGCGTGGCTGACGGTCGGAGTCGGCATAGCACCCGCTAAAATGGAGGCTCCGACCGCCACGTCCGGTCTCGACTCTCTAGCAACCCACTGCACCTGGGCAACAGCCGCCCGATAGGATCGAATCTCGGCGGGAAAAAGGGGGGAATCGGGATCGGCACGACGGGACCTGTCCAGCGGCATAGGGGCCAGCTGTTCTCTAATGTACTTTTCTTGGTCCACGACAGTACGATCCTTATATTGGCAGATATGACGGCCGGCGAAGTCGGCCTCCCCTACCTTCCACTTACCGAACTTGAATCGGGCGGTCACGCGATCTCTGAAAGCTTCCTGAAACTCGGGGCGGCCCGTGATGATAAGATCATCGACTTCGATCAAAACTAGGCCCGACAGGGCCCCCAACTTGTCACGACGGAGCCACAGGCACGGCTCGAGCAGGGATTTGACAAAACCTTCGGCCTTCAGCCAGTCCGTCAGAGTCCGATGCCAGAGCAGAGGGGCGTCGTTCAACCCGTACACCGGTGCGATAAGCTCGATGAGCCGATCAGGGCCGATCGGAAGACCCGAACACGGCTCGACGTATATCGCACCTCGGGGCCGCTCCAGCTTCTGACTCTGACAGAAGGCATTCTTAGCGTCGGCAATGGCCACTGACCAGCCGAACGAGCACGCCACTTGCAGGCAGGTAAGGATGCTCTCGGATTGGGGAGTGGGAGCGTGAACTTCAAGTGATTCACTATCGGGGTCCTGGTGTCCGTGCACGCACCATCGAGACTTGGGCTCCGGCAGAGCTCCCACTCCCTCGACCGGCTTCAAACGGCGGACCATGCGGGAAGACAGTATGCGGTCGGCGTGACGCCGACGGACGTTCAAGGACTCCTCTGGCGTAAGAACGCGAACAGCACCCGTCGCCAGCATCGCTTCCCACTCCTTAGCATCAGAAATCATGAATCGGGCGCGATCCTC